CAGCTATCCTCCATCCCTGGATGAGGTAGCTACTGCCATCAAGCAGATGAAAAATAACAAATCCTCAGGGCCTGATGGAATCCCAGTCGAGGTGAATAAAGAAGGAGGACCTTTGCTTACTAGCCGTCTCCACTCTCTCCTGGAGAATATATGGGAAAAGGAGGAAATCCGCCAAGCTCTTAAAAACGCCTCTATCGTCAATATTTATAAGAATACGAGAGACCGGTGAGACTATGGTAACTACCGCGGGATCACGCTGCTGTCCGTAGCTGGTAAGATTATCAACGAGTCCTCCTAAACAGACTTCTTCTTGAGGTGGAAAACTTCCTCCCTGAATCTCAATGTGGCATTAGACCATCACGTGGCACCACTGACATGATCTTTGTTGCCCGCCAGATACAGGAAAAGTGCAGAGAACAACGTCGTGACCTGTAATAGCTGTCATCGACCTAACCAAGGCCTTCGACTCGGCTAACAGGGAAGCCCTCTGGTGGGCCCTCAACCATTTTGGCTGCCCCATAAAATTCATCACCATTGTGAGGCAACTCCACGATGGCAAGAACGGGAGTGTCCTGCACAATGGCACCCAGTCTGTGTTTTTCCCCAGCCTAACTAGGGTTAAACAAGGGTGTGTACTGGCACTAACATTCTTTTCCATTTTCTTGGCTGCCTTCCTTACTCGTGCTAGTGCCAATTTAGCCGGCGGGGTGGATCTCGAGTACCGGGTGAAGGGGGGTCTTTACTACACAAGACGACTCCAGGCAAGAACAAAAGTGTCCGCAGCTTCCATTACTGAACTTCAGTATGCAGACGACCTCACTCTAGTTGCTCACACTGAACGCGACCTACAGGAGATCCTGAACACCTACGTAGATCGGTATGCACACTTCGGCCTTGAGGTGAGTGTACGTAAGACTCAGATTCTCTTTCAACCTGCCCCTGGTTCACACACACCTCCGCCATCCATTTATCTTAACGGTACTACCCTCTTTAATGCTACCCACTTTCGGTATCTCTGCTCCCATCTGTCCACCACCGCGGACATCGATGAAGAGATTCAGCATCGGATCAGATGTGCATCTCAAGCCTTTGGCAGACTCCGAAACTGTGTCTTCAGCTGTAGGGAGCTGAAATTATCTACAAAGTTACACGTATATCGAGCAGTGGTCCTCCCCATGCTGCTATATGGCAGCGAGTCATGGGTTACATACAGGGGGCACCTCAAGGCAATTGAAAACTTTCACCAACGTAGTCTACGTTCCATCCTCCGAGTTCGCTGGGAAGACAAGAGAACAAATGCCAGTATTCTAGCTGACACCAACTGTAGGAGCATCGAGGCTACCATTATCCATGAACAACTACACTGGACTGGTCATGTTACCCGCATGGACGACAGTCACCTAACGAATAGTAAACGTAACGCCGGCGGGCAACTGAAAAGATATAAGGATAGTCTTAAGACAAACCTGAAGAAGTGCCAAATCGACTCCCTCACCTGGGAGTCGATTCCTCCACATCGTTACGGTTTGAGGATCACCAGACAAGAAGGTGTCAATACTTTCGAGTTAACCCGACTGCATAACGATGCACTCGATGTAGCCCTCCACATGTGCAACATCTGTGAACAACTGTGCCGGTCCCGTATCGGCCTCTTTAGTCACCTTAAAACTCACCAACGAAGGTGACATCCCTAATAACTCATATCATTGTATCACAGCTGGATGATCGTCATACTCGATTCCGAGTGACAGCAAAGTAGTAGTAGTAGTAGTAGTAGTAGTAGTAGTAGTAGTAGTAGTAGTAGTAGTAGTAGTTACGTTACAGCCTGGATGAGATGTCGACTCTCTTTCTCTCTCCTTCGGTCGGCTTTGCTCTGCTTCAGGGGAACGAGAGCTTCTGCCCCAATCCCGACAACTGCTGCAGATATTGACTATGAGGCTACAGTCACTGAATGCCGCATAGATCTGCGGCTCAACTAATTCAACACAGATAGGATAGCTACTTATGTATTAGGATATTTAATATTAAGGTAATAAAATGGTGGCAAAGTTGTGGCTATTGGGGGAGGCTGGAGGCCACGTTAAAAAAAAAAAAAGTAGTAGTAGTAGTGTGCTCGTGTGTGTGTTTGTTTTCCTGCCTGTATTTATGAATGCAAGATGCGAAATTAAGTAAGGTCAAGCTAGGTTAGGATAGGATAGGTTAAGGTTAAGGTTAGGTTAGGTTAGGATAGGTCAGGTCAGGTCAGGTCAGGTTAGGTTAGGTTAGGTTAGCTTCCTGGTCTGAGGGATTAGTGTGCCAAAGGTAATATATATTTGAGTCAGTCGGTATTTTTTCATCATCATTTTTTTATATTCCAGTGTACAGTTTGGGAGGAGCAGTGTTATATGTCCCTGTGCTTTTGATCTGGAAACAGAGACGAGGATGAAACTGGAATTGAAGAGACGAGTTTTTCGCTTTCTCTATCGTTCACTGGATAGATGGATGGTGGTGTGGATGGGTGTGGGTTGGTTGGGGAGTGTGGATGGGTGTGGGTTGGTTGGGGAGTGTGGATGGGTGTGGGTTGGTTGGGGAGTGTGGATGGGTGTGGGTTGGTTGGGGAGTGTGGATGGGTGTGGTGGTGTTGGTTGGGTGTTGGGGGGTGGGGGTGTGGGGTGTGGGTTGGTTGGGGGGTGTGGATGGGAGTGTGGATGGGTTGGTGTGGATGGTTGTTGGGTTGGTGGAGGTGATGGATTGGTGGCAGGTGTGGTGGGTGTGGGTTGGGGGAGGTGGAGTGTGGATGGGTGTGGGTTGGTTGGGGAGTGTGGATGGGTGTGGGTTGGTTGGGGAGTGTGGATGGGTGTGGCTTGGTGGGGAGAGTAAATGGTTATGAGTTGATAGGGGTGTGGATGGGTGTGGATGGGTGTGGATTGATAGGAGTGTGGATGGGTTTGCATTAGGGATTGTGAATGGATGGTGAAGCCGAAGGTAGATTCGGGTGTGGATCTGCAGGTGTACTGTAAATGCCTAAGCGCGCAGCTGAATGAGTGTGGATGGGTGTAGGTGTGACTATACGAGTACAAAGATGCGAGTTGGGTGAGGGAGGTGGATTGGTGGATAGATGTGGATGCATGTGGAAGTCAATGAGAATGTGAGTCAGGGTACAGCTTTATCCTAGTACCACCTTCACTTCTCGTAACATCTAAACCTCGACACGACAAACAGTGAGAGAGTTTTAAGTTAAACAAGAAAGCAGTAAAAATAGACGCACCCAATTTACTTTACTCTAAAACTCGTCTGAGCTGTCATGAAGCTGCTGGGAACACGAGGAGTCATATTCTGATGTCAACATTTCCACTGCACTGAGTCGCAGGAAAAATTGAAGACGAATTTTAGTCATTTTATAAAAAACCATACGGAAACACCGCTTAAGGCAGAGGGTGGGCAAGCGTTCGCCTGACGTAAAATCCATAACCTTGTCATCGTAGGGTAAAAAAAACAACAACGCCAGGCTGTACTTGATAGTTGTGAGGCAATTTTATTCCCGAGACAGGACATTATGTTTACAACTCTATGGTGTAAGCCTGCCAGGTTTTACAATCAAGTCTCTTCTGTAAAGCCGGGAAACTTTTGATATAACTAGAAATGATGTTTTTAATAATAATAATAATAATAATAATAATAATAATAATAATAATAATAATAATAATAATGCCTCTATCCTTACAACAAACACCGTAACACACACACACACACACACACACACACACACACACACACACACAAGCCTGGGGATGAGCGTGTCTGAGGCAGGTCCGCCACACTGTCAGCTCTGCCTCACAGCGAGCGGCTCACCAAGCTATGTGTCAGAGGCTCTGTGTTGTCGGCCAGGGTATCTCAGGTGAGTTAAGCCCTCGCACAACACCTGCCTGCTTGGCTTAGTTGGATCAAGTCCTCAGTATTGGGTCCTGGTCCGCCTCGTCGGTGATTCAAGGTTTATGGTTCTTTTACTAGTGAATATAATACGTTAATGGCGTGTTATCAGTCAATATACCTGAAATATGGTAGGTTCTCACGCAACACCTGTCTCTTTGGCTTACTGGTTCACGTCCATTGTATATCTCAACTTTCGGGTTACTGTTCTATTTATTTAAGTTTGGTTCCTGGTTAAGTGTCTGTTAAAAGCATCATCTGGGTACAGTGGTTCGAGTCCTCTCAGAAGTTTATTACATGAGCTAGTTACAGAGTCATCATACTCAAGAGAAGAGTTCGTCGAGTTCAAATGGTTAAGACATCGTACGCAAGGGGTTAAGCATTCTAACTCAGTGGGCTAATGCATTATATCAAAGGGTTAGAAATCATACTTAAGGAGTTAATGAATACGTAAGGAGATGAGGATGACTTACCTATAGGTCAATATATCCAGTGTAATTCAGCATCACATCCAGTACAAGTTTAAACAAGTCGTGATATGAAAGTACCTAATACGTTATAGGGATTATCTACAGGTGATTAATGACGTGTGTCTTACCTCATATGAACTAAATACAGGTGTTTGTGACGTACCCCATACGTTATGGGAATTATTTACGAAAATTCAGTGACATAACAGGTACGTCACTAGTTGGAATGGGTTAGATACGCAGTTTCTAAACTTTGACCTTCCGGCAACGGGCGAGGTGATGGACTTACTGTAGTGGTAATGAACTACGAGAGGTCATACAGGTGATATCACCACCGTCGTTCACAACAGTAATAATAATTCTTCCACATAAATCTCGATATTTATAAACGTCTATGGCCAAGTATAAGACGCCTTCCAGAGTCATCCTTAAGATAAAGAGAGTGTGTATTACTTTCCTTGTTTCACTGTTGTTCGTGTTTCTTAGCCTCATAAAGATCACCTGTTAGAGTGTTTGTGTAAATATTCACACAGTTAATAGTGAGAGACTGACGTCTTTTTTATCACATAATTTGTTTGATTTGAAATTAGTTACAAATTAGAACAAGGATTTTGTACTTACCTCAGCTTTACCGAGGCGAAACTCCTTCTTCCTGAAGGAGGCGAGAGTCTCAGGAGCCGCATCCCTGGACCCCTGGCGCCCCTGAGACCTAAGGGTTCTTAGGGCTTCACTGTGACGCCACCCAAGTGAGGTGAACTGTTCCAGCCATCCGCCGTCACGCTCGCTCACCCTGTAACACAAAATTACAAGGGTCAGTAAAGGAGGAACTGCCTGTAGAAGTACAAGGAACTGTCTGTAGAGGCACTGGGAACTGCCGGTAGAAGCACTAAGAGCTGCCAGTAGAAGTAAAATTACAGTTTAGGAAAAGCTCGGACATTAATAAGTGGAGAGAGAGAGAGAGAGAGAGAGAGAGAGAGAGAGAGAGAGAGAGAGAGAGACTACACAACATGTCAGGCACGTATGCAGCAACAACATAATACACACAGTAGTTCCTCTCTAACTCAGAGTGACACACACACACATAAGCTAACACCCAGCTCACGTAGCGCCTCTCTCTCACTCTCCATGTCTGCCCAATCTCTCTATCTGTGTCTCTCTATCATCCTGTCTCTATCTGACTTTTACCTATATCATTCTCTTTACTGTTCGTATCTCTCTCTCTCTCGGTATTACCTTGTCTCTATGTTTATCTCTCCCTCTCTATCACTGTCACCAGGAGAACTTTACTGCCGCTATTCCTCTGGCTGAGTTATCATCACTAAACATATGCGTTGAATATTAATTTGCATGGAGATAACAGAGAAATGCATATATTCATACTACTATACAACTCTAGGGAATATCCTACTCATGTAAATACTCAAATTAAGATTTTTAAAACATACACATAATGGTAGTGAAATATTTTATCTAAAGTTAAAATAATATAGTATTTAATGAGGTAATATTCAATTTAAAATAATATTATAGTTTATGTTGGAGTATTATATAAATTAATCATATGTTTTAATTAAAGGTGAAGTTCAAATCTATTTTAAACCATCAAGAGTTATTCCCAACAGCTAGTAAGAGACTTTAGGTTATATCTCCCAAAGAATGAATAATATATTTGTGTGAGAGACGTGGAGTTAAGGACGATAGACAATACCGAGATGTAAACACAGTAGTTGTGATAATAAATGTGACTGAACCCGGAACACTAAACCCGGAACCTTGAACCATGAACCCTGAACCCGGAACCTTGAACCATGAACCCGGAACCTTGAACCATGAACCCTGAACCTGGAACCTTGAACCATAAACCCTGAACCCGGAACCTTGAACCATGAACCCTGAACCCGGAACCTTGAACCATGAACCCTGAACCTGGAACCATGAACCCTGAACCCGGAACCTTGAACCCTGGGAATGAAACTATCCTGAAGTGGGTTTAGGTCGGGGTTAAATATACGTTTTGGTGATATCAAGGATAAATTTTCAACCTCAATCCATCATACCGACTTGGTCCTCACGTTGATGGTGTCAGATAGTGCCAAATGTGTCCAGGGAATTGTGTCTAATATTTTTCAATTCTACTTTATTTACTTTACTAATGTCTATCTTGTTTAATAGTCTTACGTGATGCTCTATACTTAATTTAATATTACATCTTTCATACTTTTGTTTCTCGTGTGTGTAAAAGTCTTATTGCTTTTATTATTATGTATTATTTAACTCAAATTTTTGTTATGAATGTTATGCTTTCTCTCCTTCCTGATTCTTTTTCGCCTTCGTGTTGTTATTATTATTATTATTATTATTATTATTATTATTATTATTATTATTATTATTATTACTGGTATATTTTCATAACATACATAATTTACCTCACAACAGTAATCGCTATTGTTAGTGTTGCAATCATCATTATAATCATCAGTATCATAGTTATTGTTATGATTATATAAAATAAAAGTGCGGACAATGACCTATTTGAAAAAAACAGATCACACAAATGAAAAATTTGCGAAATTCGAAGATATTAACACTTACTGCTGTGCCCTCTTTGTTTACAAATCTATCAATCACTTGCTTGACAATAATTACTTCCAGTTCCGAAATAATCAGAGATACAACTTACGGCACCCAGAGCCACTAAGACCACCCCCCATGAGCTCCTCTCAGTCCCAGACCTCCATAAAATATCACAGTGTGAAGGTATGGAACAACTTACCCCTACACATTAGAGCAAAGACTACGCTCCCTTCCTTTAAATCATCTCTTAAAAAATATCTATTGTCGAAGTAATAATATTTCTTGTAACACTTACTATATTTACAGTACCTGCTTTTATTGTACCATCAAAACCGTTTTATCGGAAATTTTCATGTAAATAGATAAGAAATTACCATTGCAATAAACATAATTGCCAACTAGATATAATCCTGACAGCTCTGTCCTCTTGTTCAACCTTAATACTGTACAACCCATGTTGTTCTGCTCCCCCATTATACTTATGTTTTTCAATTCCACTGTAATTTATGTATATACTTATAATATAAATAAAAAATAAACTAAAAAAAATAATAAATAAATAAAATAAATAAATATTGAAGTGATAACCGTGGTAACACTATGAGATGTACTTATTACCACCATGCTATTGTACTATTCCAGATGATACTAAATGTTACATAATACTTCCTTGAGATAAATGTATAGTATATATCAGGTGCCTAAAAGAGAGCTCAGGTTCTCAACTGGCTCAGTCATGTTAATATTGTTATTAGTATCCACTCTGTACCTGTGTTTTTCTGGCTAAATAAACTGTTTCAATTCAATTCAATTTAATTCAAAATAACCAATGACACCACTCGTCAGTTACGCTGTTATTTACACAAATCAGCTGACGTGGGTGATGTTTTATTTACGTGACCAGTTGATGGCAACACTGACAATAATGTCGCTATATTCTACACCGTGAAATTTGATGTTTTATTCAGTTTTGGTGAATAATGACACACACACACACACACACACACACACACACACTGGTCTGGAGCTAAAAACAAATGTTCTTTATGACATGAAAAAAAAGCAAAAAGTAAGGCTCTTTATCGTGATGTATCAGCTGAATATTGAATGACTGGCAATGAAATGAACGAGTGTTTTTAAAAGCTATTTTCATGTATCCTTTGCAGTGGAGAGAGAGAGAGAGAGAGAGAGAGAGAGAGAGAGAGTTGTGGTGTACCTGTTGCCACGACAATTAATTAAACACCTGTTGTAAGACCTTCCCCTTACAACCCACCTGTAGCAGCTGACGAGTCCACCTCTCTCTCTCTCTCTCTCTCTCTCTCTCTCTCTCTCTCTCTCTCTCTCTCTCTCTCTCTTCTTCTTCCTAGTCTTCTTTCTTTTATCTTATCGTTTTCCTCTCTCTCTTTCTCATTTTATTTTCTTCTTTTTCTCCATCTCTTTCTCTAATCATTATTTACAACAACTACAAACAATAAATAAACTCACATCAACAAAAATAATCACAAACACCAACAACCATTGTCACTCCACACAGCAAAATACAACTTTCATTTTGTTTGAGTTAGCGAAAGTTAACTTTTACAAACTCTAACAAATGAAAGTTTTCTGCTCTGCTTTCACCCCAGAAAATTCCCGATAATTTTGTTTTGTTTTATAGGCAATACTTTCACTTGTATTTTCACTGCAGTAAAGAATAATTAAAAGTGTTTAATTAACCTGTATTTTCACTGCATTAAAGACTAATACTTTCCCTGTAGTAGAGGCTAATTATTACTGCTTAATTAATATGTACTTTCACTGCGGTAAATCACCAGTTAATGGCGTTTAGTTAACCAATACTTTCAATGCATTAAAAAACATCAATGAGAGAGAGAGAGAGAGAGAGAGAGAGAGAGAGAGAGAGAGAGAGAACAATCTGGAGATAAGAGGGAGAAGAGAGATAAAGGTAAAAAAATAGACCAGAGAGAGAAAAGAGAGAGAAAGATCTAGAGATAAAAAGAGAATAAATATAACTAAACTTAAGAAATACAGAAGAGAAAGGAGAAAAAGGGAGAGGAGAGATAGGAGAGATAAATACAGTGTATATATAAAGAAAGAAACTAACGAATATAAACAGAGAAAGAGAGAACAAATTGGAGCGTATACAGAATAATGAAGAAAATAAGGAATAAGAGCCAGGGAGTAAAGAGAGGAAGAGCCGCAACAAGAGGTGAGAGCTGGCGGGATTAATCAATAGTGATGGTGTACTGACAGACCAGGTAAGGGAGGGAGAGAGAGAGAGAGAGAGATGTAACAATGGTGGTGACAATAGGGAATGAAAATATAGAAGCGATTAAAAGACAAGAGAACTGGATGCTGTGCACAGCTGTGGTGATAAGCCCAATATATATTTTTCATTGACGATACAGAATGCGTCTCTCTCTCTCTCTCTCTCTCTCTCATCATCTTCCATATTCAATCTTTCCTATCAATCCATTTCATTTTCTTTACCTTTCTCTTCACTTTTTCTCCCTTGCACGGTCACTATTTTTCTATCTACCGCTATTATACCTCCCAGTCCCTCGCTTTCTTTTCCTTTCTAATGACAACCCTAACTTTCTCCTTTATCATCAACCCTCAAGATGGCAACACCACCCACTGAAGATATTACAATTACTATTTTTTTTTCTCGAACTTAAGAAACTCTTCCATATTGTTTCGATTATGACTTAAGGAGACGATTACGGGTCATGTGAACGATGTATAATGGAAAACCGAAAAAAAAAATCGATTGCCTTCGTTAGCTCATGGCTTGTTGACATACTTTCTATATAGAATTAATATATATTTTCACTGTAGCTTCTTAGGTCGTGGTAAATTACGTACCAGATAACGAGGAGGGGGAATTACTGGCCGTGTGTGTGTATGTGTGTGTGTGTGTGTGTGTGTGTGTGTGTGTGGGTGTAGCTATAAGGGTTCGCATAAAAGGAGAGAGAAAGAGCGAGAGAAAAAATGTAAACATCTCAAAATACAAATGATACGAAACACACACACACACACACACACACACACACACACACACACACGTTCTCTCTTTCTTTCTCCCTCTGTTCCATTATGTCCTCCCTTTCCTTCCCCACTACCATCACACAACCTAACCAACACACAGTACGCCAAGCCCTTCACTATTGTACTACCTCCTCCTCCCCCCACTAACAATAAACTAATTTGCATCTGTCATATCAACACATATAACAAGAGTGTGTATTAAATAACATCCCGCCATCGTCAGTCGTGTGTATGAATTGTTTCAGAGTTCATACTGTATTTTATATCTGTATTATGGGTACTGTAATTATTAGTATTATTTTTATTATTATTATTGATATTATTATTTTTTTGGGCAATTTGTTTGGGATTATTTTTTCGGTGAATTTTTTTTGGTGTTTTTTTGTTGTTTGTTGGTATTATTGTTGTTGTTGTTGTTGTTGTTGTGTTATTGTTGTTGCCATTGTTCCCATCATTGTTCCCATCATTGTTCCCATCATTGTTCCCATCATTGTTCCCATCATTA